AAATAAGAATTCCAACTATATGACCTATAAACATTCACCATTCATTTAAAACATTTAAAGAGTTTTTAATAATAAAAAAACAATATTCAAATGCCATTCATTCATTGAAAAAAAAACTAAAAGTGCATGAAATCATTTTTCCTTAATTTTTGTTCATGTCGGGGTGTCGTGGAATAATAATACCTTGGCGGATGTCAATCTTGTTGTGACCTTTGTAATTGAATGGATTATTGTTTATCATCGTTTACTTATTCAGTCATTACAAGCACAGGAAATGGTGTTGTAAAAAAAGGTCACCACTTTGCTCTCCCATAGGGCTGTAAATCGACATATTAGACATGAAAGGCGCCATGTCCTGAAAATCCATGTTGACACTAATATTATGGTAAATAGGTGACTGTGGTGGATAAAACTTGGGTCTGTATGTTTCAGGATCATCAAAATTTTGATTGTGTGATGAGCTTTCGTTCACTATTGGATCATTTTCCTATATGACCACCGACACTACTGAATCCTCTCCCCACGCACGCGACCAAGCGCTTGAAGGATATTATCTTGTTACGGCTTCATTCTGAGATGATACCGCTTTACTCTTATATGTTTCTGCTCCACTCGTAGATGATTCACTACGACAACCATATTTATTTTTATAGTTATGACATTCTTCTCGTTCTTCAGTCGTTGTCAAATACGGTCTTCCATTGAAAAGATAATAGATAATGTATTATGAATTCTTCCAATCAAAATCGTCATATTCAATGGGAGTGCGATATAGCAACAATAAAGCTCTATCGTTCCACATATCAATATAGTCAACATATATGGCTTCCCAATTATCATCGGACCTACCCGTCTGTCTATATCATGGAGCGATCATGATTGCGTGGACTTTCTGAAATGGGCTGGTGGTAGTCAAACTGCCTCAACACCCTATCTCCAAACTGGAACTCGACAACATAAAAGTGAATTACATGTGTAACAGTACACTAAAGATTAGAATATACCATTAAATAATTTGGTACATCTACCAATATGTCATCATTGTCGTATGACCTCCAAATAAATTGTAAAAATTATATATAAATGAGTACACATCAAAGTAAATTATAAATAAATAATATGTGAAATTAACTTTTCATTAATATACTTAATCTTTGCAATACAAATCAATCATCAACTTAAATACTCTAACATTGTTGTGCACTAACTTTGTGCCTTGTTTTCTCTCACACCATCTACAAACAAATAATATGCTAAACAAACATTTATTTGATAATTTTTTTCTTTTAAATGAAAGATTTTTTAAAATAAAGTAAATAAATTTTAAATTAAAATCAAAACATTACCTTCCAATAAGAGGAAAACGAATCAAACTTCGGGTAATCGGTGTAAAAAATGGCAGTCGTTGTCAAGCCTACGCTTGCAATAATAGTAGACATTCATTAGCGTTCGTTTTCTTTTGACCAACATATTTTATTGAAAATATAAATATTTATATTACTTAAATTAAAATCAAATTTACTCGTTGAAAATTTGAGGCTATACATTTTATTTAAATCTCCCTTCTTCTTTTTTTCACTCTAAATTATATTAATTAATCATCATTATTTAATAAATCACTAATAATTTTAAACAATTCTATAACATGTAATTTAAATTTAAATTCTAGAATTTATTTAAATAAAAATGAGAATAAAATAATCGAAGATCTAAATTTTTTAAAGATTTTATCATGTAATTTATTATATATATGAAAAAATGACTTAAACTACACAATTAATCACTAAATGATTAATAAAATAAAAATTAATCTTCCTCCATTACATTTTAAATACAAAAAATTATCTATATATTATCTTATCTTATATAATTTTTATTTTTAATGGTATAATAATCTAATTATAAATAAGTTGAAATTAAAAAATAGATAATTTTTTATTTAAATTTAATTTTGTTGCTCTATTTTTTAAGAAATTTTAAATTTAAATTCAAATTATATAAATTAAATTTTTTATATTAGCCAAAAAAAATTTAAATCTTACTTCTCCTTTTTCTTTATATTTTCTCAAAAGTACTTGTATTATATTAGAATAAAAACAATAAATTACTTTAAAAATAAATTAAAAAATACATTAGTACATCATAAATATATATGTATATATAACTAAAAATTAAACAATAACACACAAAAATTTTCTACATAAATATTAATATTCATCAACAATCAAATTAACTATAATAGATAATTTAAAAATTAAAAACAAAATAAATAATATAATATTACTTAATTAAAAACTAAAATATACATATACTTACTAATATTTTCTCCTTCTAATTCCTTCTTCTTCTTTTACAATTTCTACATTATTCTCAAATTACATGCATAATACTAAAATTATATTAGCAGTTCTCAACAATCAAATTAACTATATAATATATCATTTAAAAATTAAAAATAAAGTTAACGGTAATATATTACTTAATTAAAAAATAAAATATACATATACTTACTAATAGAAATTTCTACTTCTTCCTTCTTCTGTCTTCTCCTTTTTTTTCTTCTTCTTTTACAATTTTTTCCTTCTTCTCAAATTACATGCTTAATATTAAAATTTTAATAACATTCATCATCAACAATCAAATTAACTATAATATATAATTTAAAAATTAAAAATAAAATTAACGATATAATATTACTTAATTTCTATTTACTATTTCTTCTTCTCCTTCTACTAGTACTACAATTTTTTTCTAAATTAACTTGAACAATCTCTCCTATTTAATACAAAATTTAAATTTTCAACCACATATTTTTCCTTCCATCAATTCACAACCACTCTATCCCAACTTTTAAAGTTCCAATGATTGTTTACCTCTTGTTGCTGCCTGTTAGGACTAGGGATGACAAACGGGTGGGTCAGGTGCGGATACCTCATCCTCATACCACATAATATTTTTAAATCTACCACCCGCCAACCACCCATGATAGATAAAAAAATTTAAATCCACACCCGCCCACGCGAGTACATTCTCAAATCCATCCTCACATTAATTACCCAACTGGAGACGTACCCGGCTAGACCCACCTTACAGTAACCTTAAGTTATATATAAGCAACAAAATAAAACAAACACGTCCATTAAGAAACATAATAAAATAAACTAAAGATTATCTGAGTTAAGTGTTAACATAGATCTTAAAGTACATAAAACACTATAATAAAAGACATAATTAAAGCCTATAAACATAAATGACAAACATATAATATTTTTATTGCACAAATAAATGACAAACCCTAAAATTATACCTAAATTCATTATGATCCAAAATTTAGGTATTTTGTGGGTGGGCAGATGCGGGGCGGGTAAGGTCTCAAACCCATCACCCGCCTACTACCCGCGACGGGTACCACTTTCTAAATCCACACCCGCCCACTATCCATTAAAGTTATACCCATCTCCGCCCTAATTGGAGCGGATACAGTACGGAATCAACGAAATTATACCCGTTTATCATCCCTAACTACGGCTGACAACATTTTTTTAAACAATTTAATTGATTTTTTTTATTTTCTTTAAATAGTAAATACCACTTACCCTTATTTGCCCCTTAGTTTAATGTTGCCTGCACCCTGACTCATGCCAATTTTTTTCGGTTAACAATGTATTGTGGATTATTTTTTTGTGAATAATAAAGACTGGTTGTAATACCAATGTCTTCATTGTAACTTTTTTTTTTGAATAGTGAAGACTATTTGTAATTACACCGTTTTCACTATAGTTATTTTTTTGTGAATAGTGAAGACGAGTTGTATACCAATTGTCTCTCATTTTTTATTCAAAAAAATTATATGAACAGTGAAGACGGGTTTCAATCCCACCGTCTTTCAATTTACTATTCAAAGTGTAATAGATTGAAAAAAAAATGAGTTACTATATTTTGAAAAATAAAAATTACAATTACAAAAATGGAGTAATTTACCCGGTAAAATGCTTCAAATTATTTAATTATTGATTTGAAAATAAATAAATTATTTTTTAAAAGTTACCCAAATATTATTTTATTATTAAAATTAAAACTGATGTCTAATATATTTTGATATAGCATGAGTGGTAAAAATAATTATTGTTATTTCTTGAGGTTTTGGATTTAAGCATCAGAAATATCAAGGTATAAATTTCGTTTTATTTCAAAAGCAATTCGATAAATGTAATAATTTTCATTTAAAAATTCTAATAATATAGTCATCTTTAATAGTATTGTCAATTCTAACAATATAATATTTTTAATAGTATTGTCAGTCCAAATAAACCCATCAAATTAAAATTATAGTTGAATAACTCTATTGTACTTTTACGAAATAATAAATTATTATTATTCTATAAAATAATATATATTTTTAAGAAAACAAGTAATTTGAAAAAAAATTAAAAAGACAATTTTTAAGTGTACAAAAACTAATTTCATCTATTTGTAAAACTAATATATTTATATTATAAGTAAAATTCTATTTATAAAATTATATTATAAATATTATAAAAATATGTTATTAAATAAATCAAATAATTTTAACTACAATTTAATATAAATAATATTTTGATTAAAATTATAATAAAATTTTACATTACATTAATGACCAAGTGTTAAAGCTTTCGTCCCGGAAGTTCTGATAGGTTAAATCACCTAAAATATATTTGTTGTTTTTTACTCATTAAATTGATGTCATATTTAAAATCTAGTGATATAAACAATACAATACCTACAATTCAATGGTGTCTACTATAATTTATCCTTATAAAAAATCCGACTTTCTCACCTAAAAACCATTAAATCTTCAAATATCTAATAAATAGTTTAATTTTCTAAGATTTTATCTCCGTAAATCAAAATTGCAAAATTGGTCAACTTATCTTGAGCAAAATAGTTGCCCGTGCTTAAAAAGGGTCAAAGCCATTGCAGCTTATATGCAAAATTTGATCCCGACCTCCTAACATGCCTATATTAATCACAAATCACATGATTCGATCAAAACTACTCACCTCTGCGTATCATTCCTACATGAATTGAAATAACAAATTGCAAAATCGATCAAATAGCAAATAGTTGCAGCTATATGCAAATTTTGCCCATGACTATGTTCACAATGCCCTCGAAACTTAATAGCAGCCATAATATTGTCAATATCATTTTAGCTTCAAAATTCTTCGTAGTCATCATAACCTTCTCTACAATCATACTCCTCTTCCTCATCTGCGTAGGAATATAGATTAGCATTCTCGGACTCAAGCTCGTCACTATAGTTGTCTTCCTCAAAATCACGAACTTCAAATTTTGATGTTCCTTTGGAGAGCTCCTTAGGCTTTTCAGTAACTTCCTCCTACAAGGAATCAAACCCAAGGGTGAAAATAAATAATAGGGTCCAAAACAGCATAGCTTATATATTCTACAAAGAGAGACTCAGAGCATACTGGTATTCCATCGGTTAGTTTCTCCAATGCATCATAGTTGATTTTCGAACTCAGTCTCTACGAAAAAGAGAGAGGAAAAAACACATCATTATGCCAAGGGAAGTATGACCTAAAAACTTAAACGGAAACCTAGATATAACTGTAAAATATAAAGAAGAATCTCAACGAGACAAAGACATGAAATGAAAATAATTCATGGTAGATGGTAGAATTTTCGTATATATTCTCACGGAGGCATGCAACAACATTACTTAGGACTAGTCTGAAATAAATGAAACTATAACAAGGAATATTTTATATCTGATGTGGCAGTTGGTATTTACCTTTTTGTTCTCCGGTTCCTTTTCCTTTACACTTGCCATCCTGCCAGCAACAGCATTCTTAGCAGAAGATTCCTTCTCTGTAGCAGGCTTTATTTTTTTCTTCTGCCAGGAAAATATTAATATAAGATATGGATGAATTTGAATAAGTTGTGTAAATATAGAATCAATAGATAATCCAACTTTGAAGTACATCATTAGGCTTAAATAAATGAGATTAACCATGAATATCAAAAGAACAAAGGATGTAATAAAGAAAGTAAAAGTAGAACTTGTGACAAGTTTCCAGCTTTTGATGAAGTGCCATTCAAGTGATTGAACAGTTCAAGTTAAAATCTCCGCAAAGATTCATATACCTTGGTTACAAATTCAATGGAAGACAAATCAAAATGCATAAACAATATTAGTCTGGACCCTGGAATGTTCATAGAGATATGATGGACAAAAGCATGTGGAAGTGATTATATGAATGTTAAACAAATATGAAAACACCAATTAAGCAGTTTTAATGTTGGACTCCATCAGTAGAGAATCATGAAGCATTAGCAGTCAGCATCTGCATGACCACAAGTATTCTATTCTCCTGATGGCAATATTCAAAGACGGAGAACTGAAAAATCTCTCCATCTTTTATCCCTGGTTACATATTTCTGGACTTGGTTAACCTTTATCTACATTCGCATCTCATGTTAAAACAACAACTACAGTTAGAGGATAGAAAGGGCATCTCTAAAGCTAAATTAAAGTTCTAATTTAATGGACATCTTCAGTGATCTGATAGCCAATTTAGCATATAGGTATATGGAAAATTGCAGTAACAAATTAACAATCAAACCAATTTGTATAACTCCAGTAGTTCATAGTTCACTCGGAAGATAAAGATTAGTTATTTTATGCCTCTACACTAGGTAGTATGCAAGAAAAATAGTATAAAAATACTTTACAACTAAAGTCACCTAAGTTTTTTTTTTTTTAAGTCACCTAAGTTATTTTGGCTAAAGATTCTCTTTTCCTTTTATGAACCTAACCATTAAGGGAAAACAATAATTACCTTCAGCATACTGCTGATAGCTTCATTGATAATTTTCAGGTGAGCGACCACCAGATGCCTTCCCGGCTCACTCTGTGAACCTATTGCTTAAAATATTCTAGAACACAATCCAACATTGAAAACTAGATTATATCATCCGCTACACTCCAAGTCCAAGTATGCAAACAAGTAATCAGATTCATTTTTCTCTATCACTCCATTCCTCACAGTTTTTGAGTTCTGAACAAATGTAATATAAACTCAAAGTCGTTGATACAACTGCAATTGAAGAGAGAGGAGAACTAAAATACCTTTGCATAACATTTATTGATAGCTTCCCACATCAACTTCTTGAAAAGCATCTCAGTTTTGTTGTTAAGGTATCCAGAAATCTACAAAGCATTTCGCATCAACTAAAATTTAAAATTAAAAACATATATTTTCCAAAAGAACAAAATCGCGATGTACGTACCTCGGCATCATTGATATCAGAAAAATCATCGGCAGCAGATTTAGAACGCGACTTACGTTTCCTGTTTCTCTCCATCTAAGAGTATTTTAATCAACAAATAAATCAAAAACTTCTCAACAAAAGAAATTCACTAAAAAAACCAAAATAAATGATAATAACAGCAGAAAAATAGTAAAATATTACGGCACCGTGCTTGCCTTAAACGGAGAAAACAGCAATGGCGGCCTCCGAGTTTCTGAAGAAGTAAGCCCTTGACGGATCGAGTTTTAAACGCCGAACCACATTCGCTCGTTTTCGTTTTTGAAACGTTGGAATCACGCGTTCGGTTAACTTTATATAGTAGGCCTGTAGGTGTTGAAATTTACGAATATGGCCTTGCGCATTAGACCGCCTTCCCTTTTATATGAATCATGGGCCATTTAGGGCTAAATTTGAAAAAGTGTACGAGCTTCAATTTAGTGGCCTGTTAAAGTAGAGCCCGTCTTTGATTTTCTTTAATGATATTTTATTTCCAGAAGTACATATTTTTATTTCCAAAGAACATTTGTTTTCTTCAAGGGTAAAGTTCGAACCATTATTTGGTGCACTGTTAGATTAAAAAAATTATAAATAGGATTAGAATCATCACAAGTGTTTCTATGATGAATTTAAGAATTAAAAAGTTAATAAATTTGACGCTTATCATTATTTTAATTCTGTTCGTGAAAAAATCCACTATCAGTATAGATTATAATTTTACATGTTTAATTATAATTTTAATATATCTGAACAATTATATTTGGTACGAATTATTATAACACAATATCAGATTAATAATCAAAACATATTTAACTTAAATTAAAATAAAATTTAACTAAAACATATAAGAAATAAATATTCTAAAATAGACGAACTAAATACGATAAGTATAAGACAACAAATCAAATAAGTAGAAGATGTTATTGCGTTATGGTAGTCTGTAATGCGGATAGCCCGATCCGATCTGGAGTGTCACATTAGAGCCACCGGAGCGACCCACCGTAAAAATAGATAAAAATTTAAAACTTTTATCAATACATGTAAACTCATAAAATCATTTATCAGTATTCAAAAATAAAATAGATTTTCAGACTCGTATTTAAAACAAAATACAATTACATGCCCCTAATCACATTTACCGTACTTTGCAAACAACGCCGGAAGAACTCCCTTACTGATGTTGATAACTGCACTGGTACAATTCTTTTATCCTGCAATGTTGAGTAATAGAGTGAGCTTCGAAAAGCTCAGTAATACAGAACTACCAGATGATGCTACATGACATGTAGATAAATGGGAAGCCATAATTTCCTCATTGAATCTAACGTATACCAATTTCAGAATAATATAGGGTTCCATTAGTAGTTCATCGAGTAGAAGCCATGAATCTCAGTTCATAAGAAACCTTTCATACAACCACGTTTTCATTAGGTCGAATATGATTTCTAGTGTGTTCCATCAGTATGATAAAATCATAATATGTACACCAATCAAATGATAGTTCAGTAAATCTCATAAAATCATAATGAAGTTTAACTTTTGAAACTCGTAGTTTAAACCATTCTCTTGTACACCAGTCGCAGTTCCAGAACTGCGTCCATATGGCTTACCTTAAGCATACATCGAAAAGGAAGCCAACCTAAGGATAGGCTTTGGGGGCTGTATCCTTAAGTCCGTAAGTCCGTAGGGCTTACCCTAAGCACACAGCAAAGGAAGCCAACCTAATGGAGCATCTTGGGGCCTGTGAGCCTACCCAAGAGTCACATTAGGTCCGTAAGGTTTATCAGCTCGATCAGAGCTATACTCTGTAATTCAATCCATCCAAAATCAATATTTCAAAAATACAATTTATGCAGTAAGCATAAATTCCATAAATTCGTAATCATCGTTATCATATATCAGTGAAAACCAATAATCATATATCAATCATAGTCTATAAATCATCACCAGTAAGTGGTGTATCAATAAGCAGTAAACCATAGATTTCAGTGTACCATATTTCAAAATAGATAAAACAATTAAATAGTACTTAGGGAACACACTAGAGAATCCAAGTGTTTTCAGAGGCCATTGTAGTTATCAGTATGGATAACACGAAACTTATGAAATTTGATCTGATTCTAGGAACGAGGTCATATTGAAGAGAATTGATTAATAACCAATCTAATCAGACATTTAAAGTTGATATTCTCGAATCCCTCTATGATTCATATATCTCAGGAAAGTGTTCAAGTATGACTAGAGTAATTTGAGCTGATAAAATAAGAACGAAGATTCAGGGCACTTACCATCCATGTCAATCGATCGGACTATCAACAACTCCTACAACTGATATATTTCAACTGGTCAATTCATTGCCCTTCCAGGGTATTCACACTTTAATACCAACAATTCTTGTTTATAAATCATCTTCAAAATCATCGCTGAATACATCTAAAGGAAGAATTAGAGAATCCAAATAATCTTTATTTCTATCCACATGGCAACAATATCACGAATTGTCAACGTATTTAATTCTTGGTTCATAACTCATAGTAATCATACATCATGCAATATCATTGGAGTTCTCAGACTCATTCAATCACTTACTAAATTTTCAGTCATTAAAGTTACTCGGTTCATTTAGTAGTCAAATCAATATCCCAGTTACTTCAGAGTATTTCCGAGTAATTTAGATGCTTCTACGTTTCGGATACATGTTGTACTTCCACCTAGTTCTCTTTGGTCATTTACTAAAATTATTATTTTGTGTTCGTGGTTGATTTATCTCACGAATATCCACTTCTTAATATCGAATGCGATCTAACGTTGAGCTGAACTGAGTACTTCCATAATTATCATCAATCCCAATTTAAGAATACGAACAAACATTCCAGTGGTATTTATGACATTCATGTACCGACATAGCATTAACTTTGGTCGACTGACTTAAACTATGTTCCATAACTTTTTTTTTAAAAACAATGCAACATCCATGTTTATTTGGATTCCTTAATGAATCCAATTCATTTACTTATCCTTGGACGTAAGGGTATTTTGGACATTTTTATGCTCAATGTTTTTTCATTCATTTCAAAGGTTGAGGATATCCATTCATTCCTGGCTTTTTGATATTCTTTAATCATTTACATTACAGGGGTATTTTGGTCATCTTAGATATTCAGTGTATTCCAATCATTTCCTTCCATCTGATCTTATCATTTAATTCAAACGTATCATCTTTTCCAGACCTTTCGAACAATTCTGACAAAATAGCACCCTTGATAATTTATTTTTCAGGTATTTACTCATAACTCGGAGATTTCCAGGTTAAAAGTCTTTTCAAACATTACTAACGAAATCTTAGGAATTTCCATACAAAAGTAGAATCTCAACCATTAAATCAGTAATTTATTGGTTTAATTACAAATTCTCAGGTTACCTGCTCGTTCAGAGTCAACTTGGACTATTTTTACCTCTTAAGGGTATTTTCGTAACCAGATAATTTCGATTTTATCTCTTAACGAAAATAATATAATTTGGAAATCCTATAATTAATTGTTTTCCCGAACCTTCTCTGATCTTGAAATGATTCCTTAACAAACTTTCTAGTATCTTGCATAAACCCTCTTGGGGTTAAAATCCGGTTATCCAAAATTTTCGAGTAAAACTAACATTTCTTATGCACATCAGTAGTTATGTCGGATCAATATGTCTTTTCAGAGTTATTAACCAACTTCCAGGGACAATTCTTGTCATCCTACAATATAAGGGTATTTTCGTAATTTGACCAAACCGGAGTATTCTCATAATTTATCATCTAAGTACCTTTAATGAGATAAATTATAATTCACATATTCAGGACTGATTCCTTTATCACTCAATCACATAACTTGTAATTTAATAGAGTCTTAACTAATTTATTACTTAAACCGTATTCAGTTCCAATTCATCCATAATCAAACAGACATAATAGACCAATCGTATATATGTCCATGCATTTATCCATTATCAACATGTTCCATAAAGCATAAAGAGGTAGTAAAGTATTACCTCGATTTACATGCAATACTGATCGATCATTTACATTCAATTCGAATACCCTCGATCTTTAAGTCAACTTCCAATAATTCATCGGATACAAAGCAACCAAATTTACGTCAAAACTGAACTTAATTGAGAAGCTAACTTGAATCTGAAGGTAAAATATGGAAAATGACTTACCGGGTGCGAATTTGACAAAACGAACTTCAGTTATCAGACCCAGGACATCGAAGAGAATCCAAAATATGCCTTTTCAGGTATAATCAAATACGCTGCCAGAACCTCATTTTTCCCGAATTTGAACTCATTATATTTGATTTCGAGCTTTTAATTTTTCTCTCACGTACCCGGACCATCAAATATATGAACTCGATTCCAGATAATTTCCTCACCATAAAAATAATTTATTAGAATCTAAATAATAATTTGGAAACCCAATTTATTACATAACAAAAAACTTGAAGAGCTAGTAATATTTAATTACTAACATCATGGACTAAATTGATCTTGTAAAAACTATTATGTCATAATTTTAACCACTTGAAAATTAAGAGACAAGGTAAAGATCTCACCAAACTTGAATGACATACCTTGTGATTTACCCCTTTTTGCATGTTATCTACAATTCCCCAACAACCCACATGCTCTCTGTACTTTCTTAACCAGGCATTTTTCCTTTCTTCAACTGGGTACCCTTTGTATCTAAGAACTCATTCTTCTCCAGGTTCTCCTCTGATCGTGTTCGACATAAATCACCCTTTTTTTAGCCGTCGAAAGAAACGTGCCCTTTCACAACAGCAGTGGATAGATTTCTTTACACCATATGGTAAACTTCGTGGTCGTGGAGTGAAGTTCTTGAAGAAAGTTTGCAGTAGAGGTGTTGATCGAAGTATTAGGACTGAGGTCTGGCCCTTCATCGTTGGAGTCTACAATTTAAACAGATACAAAGAAATCAAGAGCTGTCAAGTGACCAGCAAGCACAACCAAACGTGCCTTGACTTTGGAGTCTTCCATGGATAAGTATGGAACTTGTGTTTTCATTTCCTCATAGTCATCCCTATTATTGGTTTTAAAACCTAACTACCCCATAATTAGAAAATATATATGTATTGTGTGGCACTCATTATTTTTAATAAAATAATAGTAATAATATTTGTCAATCAAACTTCAAATCTATTCATAAACAATATCAATCTCACATATTCTAATATGAAAGAAATCTAATTTCATATTGGAGCGTTACATAGTCCATTTTTTAGAAGTGAAATTGTCCCAATTAATGTAATAGTCAAAAGTTAACGATCGTCTCCCTAGATCAATACAGTGTTTCCTAATTCGTACATCCGAAAAAGAAAGCTGAAACTCAGTTGATTGTTATTTTTCTTAGTAATAAATGGATAGTCGGTTACAATCACTTAAAATTTAAAATTTAAAAAGATATTCAAAATTAGTCAGTTTCACTACGGCTACACGTTTAAAATTTAAATTAAAATATTATAAATTATATATATTCTTTTACCAATCAAAACGAAAAAAATAAGAGGACATATATAAAAAATTATTCATATATTAATCGAATGTGTTATATAAGATAAAGATATGTTCAATCAGTCGCACCTTATTAAAGCTTGATTGATTTAAAGCGTTTTTATTCTACGTAAGACGTTCAATCAATAAATGAATGTCATTGGAGAAAATAATTTTAAATTTTTTTGAAAGTGTTATTTTGATTGAAACATACCAATTACAAATTGCTCGAATAACATTTGACTAGAAATATACAAGACCGGGTCCTATCATAAAAGTATTTGTTTTCTTTAGTGGGATGGTCATGAAAAGTAAAAGGAAAAATTATCTATCGTTTCATTCATATCGGGGCAATCAGGATTAACTCAGTCCCATGTGGTAAGTAAAAGGAAAATTGATTTTTTTTGAGTTAAATTAATTTTGAGTTATAAATTTTATAAATTCAATTCGATTTTAAAAAATTTAAATTCGAATCGAGTTATAAAATAAAACTTGAATTGTAACTCAAAAATTTAATAATTAATATATCGGGTTTTAATTTGAGTCGAGTTCATTCACTCTGAACGATATATGTATATCACATATAAAAAATATATGAAGAAATATACATGCAATGTATATGGTTATAAAGAATTATTTAAATTAAAATTAAATAATATCATAATATTATACAAATTCATAATTAATTTTAAATAAAAATTCGAACAACTCGACTCAAATTTTATAAACTCAACTTATAAAAATTTCAAGTCAAGTTTAGGTTATAAAATAATACTCGTCTACTCAATATTTTTTAATTTGATTTAAGTTTGTCAAACGCTCACTCCTACAATCAAGGATGAGTCGATAATCATATTCATAAAAAATTTAAATTCTAGCATATTCTAAATACTTTTTATATTTTTATTAATCGTTAAATTTTATACTCTAGATTTTTTTTCAATTTCATACACTTTAAATTTACAATATAATTATGTCTTTACATAAAATCTTTAATATAATTTTTAAATTTATATCTTTAAATGAACAAGTACCATTTCTGGAATCTCATTATCCACGAGTTTATCAGCGAAATGGCAAATGCTTTCCTATGAAGGAAGAGCAAACAAAAAGTTGAACGAGAGACTCAAATCTTCGTTTTATTAATGCCTGACCTACGAACCCACCGAAAAATAAAAATAACAGCAACAACGAGAAGATTGCTGGCAGTTAAGATAATCCAACAACATAAACAAAAGAAACTAGGTGTTCGTCCTTGAGATCTGCTTCAGTATATTTATGAAGCATTCCATCTGGCATGGGATTCTAAGGATGCCGGAGCTCTGATATCCAACCTCCCGAGCAACCATCTAAAGAAACCCAACAAAATACTCATTTTTAACATATCCACGTGGATCAAAAACTTAGCACCATCCTTTTCTTCATCCGTCCCGACCATAACTGGAACATACCCTTTAGGAACATTAACCCTTGCTTGGTCTGTAATTCGTCTGTAAGACGCTCTCTTTCTCGACAGTTGCCTCAGCATCTTTTTTTCTTCTTTTCCTGTGTAATGATCTGATCAGACATGGAGGTGTTGGGAAAAGATCTTTTATTTGGTTATTTTATAGGCCGAGTGTTTCTAGAGCAGTACGTTAGGTTGAAAATTCATCTGCATGACAGAGAATTGGTCCGATCATGCATGGATTTTCTTGCAGGATGTGTGTGTTTTTTCCCCTTTTTATAATAGTAATTTGAAAGAAATGATATGGGGAAGAATGTTCATTTGTACCATTGGTGTGACTTTCAAATGTCTGTTTTATTTGATACAAATGATGAATCTGCGTACTAACTCCAATACTTTGATGTGAAATTGAGATGTGCACGTGTTAACTCCACTTTGACCGGCGCCGGATCGATACACGCGCACGTGTCTGATTTGCTCAATTTCTCGTTTCCGGAGTTCACACGAAATTGACTTGGGGTGCACCTTAACATTGTTGAGAGTATAATAATATTAAAAGAGAAACTCGTAATCCATATATGGTCATTTGTGCATGGTTTTTACGAATCCGGAAAACTTTTTATAATGTTTATAATTGTTTTTCTTACATAATACTAAAACTGTCTATAGTATTTCACTGAATAATTACTTTTTTTAATATCTTAATTTTCAACATTTTATTTTAGATCAAAATAATCTTTTCATAAACAAAATTAATCAATCAACTAATGATCAATATCATATGCTAACCTTACAAATTTATATAATATAACATACTGACATGACAATACTATATGTACAGAAGCATTAACGTGACATGACACATAAAAAAATTAAAGATAAGTTTTGACAAGATATAAACCTAGGTCTTCGAGATGGAATACTCACTATTTAACCACCAAACCAAATTATAACTTTTATTATTTTCTACAAACTATAATTTATTCACATTAAATTTTATTACATTCACAATAAATGTTATTACATTCACTACTTAACCAAATTATGTTCTTGAACGTTGTTGTGCTAATCCCATATTTGGCTTTCGGTGAAAGAAAAGGTTCAGATATAAGAGAGAAAAACAACAAATTCTTACACATAATCAACATTACAAATTTGACATTCACATTATAATTAAAATAATTCTTTATATTAAAATTTATTTAACAAATAATCATAAATGAAATAATAAAAGAATTTTATACAATTTTATTAGCGATATGTTCAAATCCTAAGCAAATATTTTTTTAATAATTTTATTTGAAAGATATATGAGTATGAAATTGAAAAATACAAAACACCTTTATAATAAGATAGGGTATTTAACTTATCTTATAATTAAGTTAAACTCTAATTAACTCGTAATGTCAACTCAATCGAACAATATCCATTTTCGACACCCACTCGGATAATTGCATTGCATAATATGGATGGCAAGTGAATAAGATGATATTTTATATGTTTTGATTCAATTCATCACTTTGAGTGTTAAAGAAAACCAAATGGCAACTTCAAAATTTGTAATACATACGATTAATTCATTAAAATAGGTTTTGCACAACAATTTCCCCATTAAACCATGTCTTCAAACACCAACTAACCACCTATAAGGATGTGTTTGATTGGAAGAATATGAGATTCCCATGTGAATGAAATTCACATTCCCCCGTTTAGTTGGCCGGAAATGTCATTCCCATAATCTTACATTACCAATAGTGAATTTTTTTAGGTATATTACCAGAAATGTCATTACCTCCCTTTCCATAGGTATTGTTGGATTACTGGCGTTTTGGACTAAAATACCCTTAAAATTTTTTTTTAAAAAATATTCTTATTCGGTCATTGAATAATAAAAATTATACGAATGTTAAATTACAAATTTAACCTTAAACTATTTTAGATTTACAAAAAAATCTATAATTAAAATTTTATATGAAGTTCAAGGGTTAAAATAAAATTTTACTCTTTCATTAAACCTTTTTATATTTTCAATTTTGGGATAGAATCAACCTCGCATGCTGCAGTTTACATGATGCTTTCTGCGTTCCTGTCACGCCGGAACATGTGTCCGTTGCCCCTAAAGTAATGGCGAAGTAAAGGTAAATGGTACATAGGAATGCTAAGAGTGTCAAAGCTGTTGAGAGGAATCTATGCCTCTGAACAAGTGTTGACCAGCTACCCAACTCATCTTTTGGGAATTGCTTCCTCATCGATCCTGTCCTTCGATGGGGAGAAGATACAATGCTGTCGAGAACCATAGCTTAGAGACTAATGGTCCTTAGTCGACGCAACCTGAAATCATGTACTCAATTCAGTTCATTTCATTACTACTCGGGACAAGACTAGAAGAATGTCATGCTAAAGCACTAAATCACCATATGTAATGAAAGGCAACGACCGGAATTTTCTAATTTCACGAAAAGAAAAGACCAACAAACTCTGCTTTCATGCAGCAGCCCGGAACTCATATTAACCGAGTATATGTGTGTGTGTGAGAAACTGAGAATATTAACACTATATGTTCACTGGAAATGGCTTTTTTAAATCAGCCTCATAACATTTTGTTTTCCCGATAAAGGGAGAGAAGGGGTCGTCGGGTGTTTGAACCCAGAACCTATGTCGACCATGAAATGGGAACGTAAACACCAAACAAATCCACAGAAACACATACGAATATCTGAAAGATTGACCAACCCTGACAGGAAAATCTTAAAAGAAAGCAGATTAGTATCCGGCTATCCACTGTACTAAATTAAAATTCAGTTGGCAACCGAAATACAAAATTTTGCAAAACATTTTTCTACAGATTCAATCTAAGCTCGAAGATCGATAACATTTTAAAACTTCAAAAATGTCTCAACCGGTAGGAAAACCATAATTTCTTAATAAAACACAATAGCAACTCATGAATTAGCTTCAACAATCACCAATGTTCGATTGTTATATCATAAAGAACAAATCTTCGATTTCCCTTGCACCCGAAAACTATTTATGCTTTAATTATTACTAGAGAGAAAGACACTTGACATAAACTGTTCTCATCTCAGTTAGATAATAATAGATCTTTTACGATTCCTTAATCCCACTTATGCAAACATGCTATCAACTCAGATCCCTAAAACCCAGAAAGAGAAAAAGCCATAATAACATGTTATATCTACACGAAAAGTAAATCTTATCAGAAATCACTAACATGGCATATTTCTATCAAACAAACATAAAATTCAAAACCCATCTCCGTGCTTAAAAATTAAACAAAATCCGGATCCGAAAATGAATCAAACAGTTAATAAAATTAATAAAAAAATACACTTGAGAAAATCAAGGTTAGATCAAAGTGAAGAAGCAAACAATGGGTGTATTGATCTGAATTCTTGGTGTTCTTTCCCTTGCCCTCCCTTTTCGTTGTGTTACAAGTTCACGGCACAGGGGACGATAGGATAGAAAAGATATTAAAGCTTTGGGTAAAGTTCAAAAATAGTCACTAAACTATCCTAAAATTAGTTTTTAGACACTAGTTTTTCAAAAGTCACAAGTAAATATTAAACTTTAAATTTTAGGCTTAAGTACACTTTTACCCTCTAAATTATATACTTTTATCATCTAACAGTTCAGCCGATTTCTCCTGAACATTATAAACATCATCCTATTTAAGAAAATAAAATTCTAAAGACATTAGATAGACAATTCTTTTTCCCATATAAAAATATATAATAATTAATAAGAAACTATATAAATTTACTAATCTTTCATAAAAAAAAGCATATTAAAAAAACTCTAAACGTGCGCTGTTTGAATTACAATCCTATAATGGCATTCCATAATTGAAAAAGTCACAAAAGCAAACATGAAGACAAACGCCTTTGGAGTCTGACCGAGAAAGCAATTCTGGTTCCTCTTTTCGGTTTGTATTTCGATTGTTTTTTACTATAATCTTGGTGCGCCCAATCAATCATCGTCTTCTCCTACCTTTCTCTCCTTTAATTTCTCAAGTAAGATACAATTACATACATTTAATCTTAATCCTGAACGGATTTTTTTAGTGTTCATCTGGTTCAATAATTAACAGTCAACAGTTAGGGTCCCGTGCATAATTCAATTATTTATTTAATTTAATTTTTGTTCTGTTATTTATTGTTCGTTAGGGTTTTGGGGGTTCGTCGGCTTAATCTATTTTGTTGTGGTTGAAGAAGACGTGGGCTGCTTCATGCCTTGCATTGTGTTGTGCGGCGTGCGCCTGCGATGCATGCCGCACGGTGGTTTCGGGGTTTAGTCGGAGGTCTGCGAGGATCGCCTATTGTGGACTATTTGCCCTTTCTCTGATTGTTTCATGGATACTTCGTGAGGTTGCCGCTCATCTCATGGAGAACATGCCTTGTAAGTTTCGTTCTATTTTGCCTCTTTTATTTTATTTTATTTTGGTTATTGCTAATTTTGGTTGATTTCTTTTGAGTATTAATTATTCGGAGTATACTTTGTTGATTTTAAGATTCCAACAATATCTTTGTTACCTGTTGCACTGACCGAGAATGTTGCTACAAAATAGTAAATGGAGTAATATCCAAGCAAAAGCGTATTCAGGGTGCAAAGAAGTTAAATTCTTTTATCCTTTTTTACATTACCATCGTCTTTCACGGGGATAAATGCATTTTAAACATGCTCTCTTAATGTATCAGGTCTTCTAGCAAATTTGAAGAATGCTCCGATTTCCATGTGAATCTGGACATCTACTGCATTACCGTGTTTATTGCTTTGAGTTTAGTATATTGAATCAAACTGATTTCCTGGATTAATTGTGAGCTTGTTCTTTTATACATTTTTCTTTGGTTGCTGGATAACTAGTAGTCCTACCTCACTTCTCTTGGACCATGCTGTCTCGTATAGATTGTCATTATTGATATCGGGCACATTTCATGTGTGATGTTTTGCATGTTTCTCGAGGAAGAAAAGTGAACTTGTTGTCTGTATCTTGCAAGTACCTACTTTGCTGATTTAGTTAATTTAATATTGTTATTTATACAGGGATCAATCATTTTCATAAAATACCCAACAGGGAATGGTTTGAAATAGGTGCGGTGCTCAGCTTGGGAAATTTTCTGTTTTTCACCATCCTTTCATTTTTAATGATTGGTGTGAAAAATCGGAGAGATCCTCGTGATGGATTGCACCATGGTGGATGGATGATGAAAATTATCTGCTGTTCATTTTGGTTATTTTGATGTTTTTTGTTCCTAATGAGATTATCAGCTTTTATGGTAAGTTACACTGCTTGTGTATCATTCTACAAAATTAAGAATGTCATTATTTTGAAAGTCTTTACATGCTATGTAACCACCCGAAAAATTTGAAGAAAAAAAAATATTTAAATCGGTGTAATTTGGTGAAATTTGGTGACTAAATTAAAATTTTTGAAAATTTGTAGGTTATTTTAGAAATAAAGAAAATTTAGGGATCAAATCTTGAATTTACCCAAAGAGTGTCGATAGGTTGGGTTTTATAAACGTGTTTTCCGATTTTAAAATCAGAAAACACAGGTAATTTCTCAAATTTCCTCCTCCCGTGCACTTACTTTCAAGCCTAATTCCGACGCCGTCCGACTTCTGATCGTAAAATTGAAACCATCGTCGTGTTCATCATCGACCCGTGATCAAAACCCAGTAAACCAATTATAGCGACACACTGCCAAACAACGTGAATTTCGAGTCAAAGTCTCGACGTTTTTTAGCACCACCGCTGAGAAAATCTTAAATTCATCTTCGATCGTTGATCGATTTTCGACACCTCCCGCACCATTGTGTTCCTTGTGTCGTTCCGAGTCCGACGGTGTCCTGCCTGTCTCCGTAGGCGACGGCGCGTGAGGGAGGTGGAGCGGTCAAAGTTTTGATCGAAGTGAAATCGAGCTCTCTACCGTTTAAAAATTTGAACCGAGGTTGGTAAGTGACTCAAAATCACTTAAAAGAATTTTTGGAAATTTTTGCAGGAATTTTTGGAGACCAGAGGCGGTCTCACGCGCCCCCACGCACTGCCCCTGCGCATTGGGAAGATTCGAAATAAGGGTTTATATATGTTGGTCGGCTTGACCGGTCCAAACCGATCTGAACCAGTCCGACCCGACCCGTAAACCCGACACGACCCAGTGATATTTTGAGAATTTTTTTAAAAACAGTGACATTCTGGTAATTATTTTTAAAACGATGACACTTTGGGATTTTTTTTAAAAATAGTGTCATTCTGGTAATTATTTTTAAAACGATAATATTTTGGTAATTATTTTTAAAACAATGATATTTTGGTAATTATTTTTTAAAAAGTGATATTTTTGTAATTTTTGAATGTGGAATATTGAACCCTTTACCATAACTTTGATCGGCTTTAAACGACCATTAAGCGACCTTTGATTTTGTTTGAGTATACCTGTTCTGACATTTTTCGACGTGCCGGATATGTTTTCGAGGTCCATTTTGCCAAATTCGAACCCGAAGGCCTCCAAATCATTAGTCAAACCCGTTGACTTTGATTTTGACTAAGAATTTGAATTTTCGAAAAGTCATACTTTATGTTGTTCGACGCCCTGATTCTGATTCCGCACTCTGTTTGGTCAAATTTAGACTCGAAAGCCTTCAAATTGATAGTCAAACCCGAAAAATGCTTATGTACTAAAGAGTTTAAGCTTTGAATGGTTGAGTAAGACTTGGGACTGATAAATTATTAATGTTTGAAGGTATAAGAGACTCTCCTGACCGTTTGACAGCTCGACCCAACACCTCTAGATCAGTTAAGCCGCGTGTGCCAGTATTCACCCGTAAGACTCGTAAATTTTATGATTTCAGAAATTAATTTTGTTACCCGTTAGTAATATAGTGTTATTATGGATTAGGTTCGAAAACAGTAGTAGTGCGTGGCGAGGCCAGCAATCACTAGATCTACTATTTAAAATTGTCGAGGTGTGTTCCCTGTGTACTACTTGATTGTTTTATATGTTTTGAAATATGGTACATTGAAAGCTATGGTTAATGTTTTATTCTCGTAAATTTTATGATTTCAGAAATTAATTTTGTTACCCGTTAGTAATATAGTGTTATTATGGATTAGGTTCGAAAACAGTAGTAGTGCGTGGCGAGGCCAGCAATCACTAGATCTACTATTTAAACATATTGTCGAGGTGTGTTCCCTGTGTACTACTTGATTGTTTTATATGTTTTGAAATATGGTACATTGAAAGCTATGGTTTAATGTTTTATTAATCCACCTATTTACTGGTGATGGTTTATGGAATATGACTGATATATGATTATTGGTTTTCATTTGTATATGATAATATTGAATATGGAATTATGGAAATTTTGCTTACTGCATAAATAATATTTTTGAAATACTGATTTTGGGTTGGATTGCATTACGGAGGTACATCTTTGATCAAGCTGGTAAACCTTATGGACCTAATGTGACTCTTGGGTAGGCTCACAGGCCTCAAGATACTTCATTAGGTTGGCTCCCTTTCCTGTGTGCTTAGGGTAAGCCCTACGGACTTACGGACTTAAGGATACATGCCCCAAAGCATATCTTTAGGTTGGCTTCCTTTATGGTGTGTGCTTAAGGTAAGCCCTATGGACGCAGTTCTGGGGAATTGCGGATGGTGTATAGGAGAAGGGTTTTAAATTACGAGTTTCAAAAGTTAAACTTCATTATGGCTTGATGATGAATTTCTGAACTATTACTCATTTATTGTACCTACTATGATTTTATTATACTATTGGGACACACTGAGCCTAGCTCACTTTTCGAAAATATTTTTCCCTTTCAGATACTGTTGGTTAAATACTCGGATCAAGCACTTGGAGGATCAACATATCTCTTGAAGTATATCGTATTGTAATGTTTTATCTTTTAAGTTGACTCTATTATTGTAACATGAGCCTTATTTTAAAAGTATTGAATTTTATAATGAGTACTCCTTTTGCTAATTTATATTAGTTTACTGAAATTTAGATTTTTAAGACATGTTTTATTTAACTTGTTATTTTTCTCATAATTATGAGTTGATTTTTTATAGTATAATTTATTATAATTTCATAAATGTCATTTATAAATATGATTTTACGTTGATAGAATAACGGTTTCGGAAAAATGTCTTTAATAATCATGAATGTGATCTACTAGACTTAGTCGAAACGCATAGGTCGGGTCTAGGGGGTTACATTTAATTGGTATAAGTGCTTTTGGTTTTTAAACCTCGGACTGTGTATGAGTCCAAATTGAAAATATGATTTTGAAATATTTTACAAAACAAGTTGCTAAGGCCATGTCTCAAAGTTTTTACGGTTTTAATTGTGCTCGATACTCAAAGTGCTTATCTAACCCTAAGTTTTATCTTCTGTAGTAAACTAGAGATATACCAA